GAGTCATTGCATTCTCTAGTTAGAACCAATGCTGAATATTTTATTTGCATTATTATGCCAATATATATATTAAACTTTTAAAGTGTTGTATATCTTTGCCAATCAACACTTAAATAACTTGAATAGTTATTTAATGCAGGGATTCCCAAACTTTTTGTGTGTGTGTGTGTGTGTCAGCTGAATATATTTGACCTAAACTATTTACTTGGGAAAACCCCTGAGATTTAAAGTTAATATAATTTAACAACACATTTGCATGTTCTAATGTCTGTTAATGGACATAACATTATATAAACATAACATTTTGGACATAAATTACTTACTATGTAACAGAGAGAATGAAATTCATCTTCCTGAAAATGCAACATGCTTTATTTTGTGTATGATTGGCTTACAACAAATGGTAGTTTATCTTACCCAGTGGCTCATTTTTTTTCCCCAGTCTCCCTTCCTGACTATTACATCAATATTACATGGGGAGAAAAAGTTAAATCAACAGTTCTGCTTGTATGTATGCCACTGTTTGGAGTCAGTAAGATTTTTCTCTTTTTCTTTTGAAAGACGTCTCTTATGCTTGGTCACCAAAGCTGCATTTATTTGATCAAAAACACAGTAAAAACAGTCATATGTGAAATATTATTATAAATATAGTTTCTGTGATGCAAAGCTGAATTTTCAGCATCATTACTACAGTCTGTGTAGTTGTTCTAATATGCTGGTTTGGTGCTCAAGAAACATTTCTTATTATTACCAATGTTGAATATAGTTGTGATACATTTTCTTCTTTTCAGAATTATTGGATGAATAGAATTTTAGAAAAAAAATAGCTTTGTAGCATTCTAAATGTTTTACTGTCATTTTTGATTAATGCTTCCTTACTGAATAGAAGCATTAAAAAAAAAGTGTACCTTAGTTTTCCCTCAAATAAAACTTTAGTATCTTTTAAATCTATCAGACTTGTCAAAGCCAGCCAATCAGATAAGAGCTTGCTATAGCTCTAGAAAGCCTTCCACTTTTGCTTTCCAGTGATGTGTGCAATATACAGAGATGAGCAGCAGTGAACTGTAGTCTGTGGGTGTGCTGTCTGAGGCTGAGACTATCTGTGTTTTGGTAAATTGAGTTGTTTCCAGTCCTGTCCTGTTTTCACCCACTTGTAAATTGTTTGGGCTGCAATAGTAAGCACCAGGTGCACAGACATTTGCTTATCCCAACTGATCTCATGCAACATGCCAGCTATGCCCACCATGGTTTGAGTTCAGGGACGGAGTATAATAATATGCAACAATTCATGCAGTGCAGCCTAGCACCGCAATGCTCAGATCATGACCTAGCAGAGCCCAGCTACCACACCATCAGTTGTGCTACACACTGGAAAGATGTAATATAAGATCGTAGTACACGAAGAAGAAGAGGGAAGAAGTGTTAGCAGTCAATGAATACTTGATTAATTAACTGATTGAGCTGCCTAATTAACTATTTATTTATTTATAGATTTCAAACATCATTTTCAGACCGTTTTCTTTCTTGTGCAGTCAACGGCGAAAGCAAGTTAATCATTTTTCTAGATTAGATATGAACTGAAAGCCGTCCACTATGTAATAATTGTTTCAAAGGGATTTGAAAGCCAGTATGCTGTCAAGACTCCATTTGAACAGATTCATAATACCCGATTAGCAGATGACAAGCCCTTTTATTTTACAGATTTGTCCCAACAAGACTTTTATGGCCATCTGCTAAACCACACTGCTCTGTTTTGAATGAATGCATAATGTTGATACCAATATCTAAAAAAGCAGGGTGGCAAATTGCTGATATAATTCACAGGTTTGGGATCAGAATGACTGTTTAAGAATGTTTTTAAAAGAAGTCTCTTAACAAGTCTGCATGTATTTTAATCAAATTTCCAGTAAAATGTAGTATTGTTAAATATTAGTACAGTTTAAAATTAGTGTTTTCTATTTTAATGTTTTTAAATGTAATTTATTCCTGTGATGCCAAAGCTGAATTTTCAGCAGGCATTGCTCCAGTCTTCATTGTCACATGATTCTAATATTTGGTGCTCAAGAAACATTCTTTTTATTATCAGTGTTGAAAACAGCTGTAAGCAAGCACAGCTGTTTTCAACACTGATTATTTGAAAGCATCCCAGAAAAAAAGCATCATGGTTTCCAAAAAAAAAATTTTTTTTTTGGAAACCATGATGCTTTTTTTCTGGGATTCTTTCATAAATAGAACATTAAAAAATATGTCAGCTTTTATATAAGCATTTATTTAAAGCATTAAAGACAGTTATAATATTACAAAAGATTTATTTTACTTTTAATCAGTTTAATGCATAATAAATAGGGTTGGGTATCGTTTGAATTTTATCGATTCCGATTCGTATCGATTCCTAGTTTTGATTCCAATAAGATAAAAAAATCCAATATAAAAAGTTAAGTCAAACATTTATTCTGTGTTTTTTTACAAAGCATTCTGTTGCAGCTGAATAACATGAGCAAAATCAGCAGCCTACAGAACCACCGCAAAAACAACTAGATTAATATAAATTGCAAATATTAGAGTGTTAAAGACAAGTAAACAGTCAGTAATAAAATGGGAACAAACAAATCCAATTAGCAATAGCATAAATAAATACAACTGAACCAAATTTCAGGTACAGAAACTGTAATTAAAAGTGTAAAAACACTGCATAGTTTTCTTTTCATAAATAAAATATAGATTAATCAATTAAAGTTATTAAATATATTCAGTCAAGATCAGTGAATGATTTTCTTTTGTTCTTTGATTAACATTAATGACAGGCAGCGTGTTTATTAGGCTGCTGTCTCTTTAACACTGAACGCATGCAGATCTAAAAATACTGTACACGTGTGTTTTCTTTCTCATCTGTTTACGTTCACGTAAGACAAAAAC